TTCACACTTATAAATTATATAATTTTTATCTTTTGGATCCTTAAATTGGGTCAGAACTGGATTGAAACCAAATCAAAAATACTTCCTTTCACACCATATCAAATTTAAAAATAAAGTGTGAACACAATTAATTAATCTAAAGATATATTAAAGCAAAACCAAAAAAACTTTTTTGTGTTCACACTGTGTGTTCACACTGTGTGTTCACACATATTTACACTTATAAATTATATAATTTTTATCTTTTGGATCCTTAAACTAGGTCAGAACTGGATTGAAACCAAATAAAAAATACTTCCTTTCCGCCTTGAGGGCTCGGATAAATCTGAAAACCGCATCTTCCGCATCGTCTGAAAATACTTTCCTGGTCAGTACCAATACCCTTTTGTTGTTTTAATTTATTATGCCTTTTTTGGTTCACTGCTTTGTTTCTTATTAGGTAAGTGATTGAATCTATCCAATTTAGTGACTTCAATTTAGTTTTTTTTTTCAAAGAATTGACTAGGGAACAGTTGAAAGAAGTAGTAAGATGAAAAAGAACAATCCGTTAGGATTTATTTATTTATTTTGGTGGAGAGGTGGGGGATTTGGCTGTAACCTTATTGCATACTTGAAGTATAGGGGAAAGGTAAACGGAGGGCATTCACTTTAGGTGTACCCAATTCCTTTAGACTCGGTAATATTGTGGATGCTATTCTTGAGATAGAAAAAAAAAGTGAACTTTCTTTGGCTAATCCATACTTTTCTCAAAAGTAAGTTTTTTCCATCTTCTGGGTTTTCTGTTTTATTGATCTTATGAGTTGAATTCGATGTGTATGTATTACTTATATCATGTCTTGGTTTCCCAAAGTATGCTAGCCTTTTGACTATATCGTTGTTTTAGTTGTATCTGTTTGACTGTGCATTATCTGGCATTGGCTTGGATGCTCTTTTCTTCATTGCTCATTTAAAATGATAAATATGGTGCATGAAAAAATTATTTTTAACCATCAAGTGATGGTTATTTATTTATTTATTAAATTCAAAATATTCATATTTATTATTTAATTTTTTCTATATAGCCTATTTATAATCTGTTGCATTTTAGTCTTTAATTTGATGCATTCAATTATTTATCGTTTTATATTTTCAATGCATTGAAAATTTATATTCATCTGCTGATTTTAATTTCTATTTCTAATTTTGCAGACTTTATTTTTTCAATTCTTTAGTTGATAATCTGTCCAATAAATATTGGTCATTTGAGGAGTCTATTTTGCATGCATATAATGTTATACCAGTCTCTGTTTTTTTTTTGTATGACCAAAAGAATACAGATTTTAATGGTTAAGAGGTTTAATTTTATTCAAATGATAAATATGTGGTGCATGAAAAAATTATTTTTAACCATTAGGTGATGGGTTTTTTTATTACTTATTTATTAAATTTGAAATATTCATATTTATTATTGAATTTTTTTTATATCGTCTATTTATAGTCTATTGCATTCCAATCTTTAATCTGATGCATTCCACTATTTATTGTTTTATATTTCCAATGCATTGAAAATTTACATTAATTCGCTGATTTTAATTTTTATTTCTAATTCTGGGGACTTCATTTTTTCAATTTTTTTTGATAATCTGTCCAATAAATATTAGTCATTTGAAGGGTTTATTAACCATTAGGTGATGGGTATTTTTGTTATTTATTTATTAAATTCGAAATTCAAAATATTCATATTTATTATTGAATTTTTTTTATGTAGTCTATTTATAGTCTATTGCATTCAAATTTTATATCTGATATATTCCACTATTTATTGTTTTATATTAAATTCAAAATTTATTTATTAATTCGCTGATTTTAATTTTTATTTCTAATTTTGTGGACTTTATTTTTTCAATTTTTTTTGATAATCTGTCCAATAAATATTAGTCATTTGAAGGGCTTATTAACCATTAGGTGATGGGTATTTTTGTTATTTATTTATTAAATTCGAAATTAAAAATATTCATATTTATTATTGAATTTTTTTTATGTAGTCTATTTATATTCTATTGCATTCTAATTTTAAATCTGATATATTCAACTATTTATTGTTTTATATTTCCAATGCATTGAAATTTACATTCATTTGCTGATTTTAATTTCTATTTCTAATTTCATGGACTTTATTTTTTCAATTTTTTTTAATAATCTGTCTAATAAATATTAGTCATTTCAATGGTCTATTGACCATTAGGTGATGAGTTTTTTTGTTATTTATTTATTAAATTCGAAATATTCATATTTATTATTGAATTTTTTTTATGTAGTCTATTTATAGTCCATTGCATTTCAATCTTTAATATGATATATTCCACTATTTATTGTTTTATATTTCCAATGCATTAAAAGTTTACATTCATCTGCTGATTTTAATTTCTATTTTTAATTCTGTGGACTTTATTTTTTTAATTTTTTTTATAATCTATTCAATAAATATTAGTCATTTGAAGGCTCTATTCTCCATGCATATATAATGTTACACCAGTCTTTTTTTTTTTTTTTCAAGTATCAGAGAGAGAACATATAGATTCTGATGGCTAATATGTTTGATTTTATTAAGGATCTTAATCCTTCTAAAGAGCAATGAAGGATAAAGGTTAGAGTAATTCGACTTTGGAAGCAAAAAAATTTTTCGACAGTCAAAACTGGGTGATAATATTGAAATGCTCCTTTTGGATGAATAGGTCAGAATTTCGTGTTCTTGAATTTGGTTTTCAATAAGTATTCTAAAGTTTGCTTTTCACATCTCTTACTTCTAACATTTTTTTATGTTTTGTTTAGGGGGGGAGGATTCAAGCAACTCTTAGGGCTTCTTTGCGTTTTAAGGATGCTTTTACTGAAGGAGGAGTTTATACAATTTTGAATTTTGGTGTTTCTTTGAATAAAGATCCTTATAAGCCAACCACACATAAATACAAGATTGTTTTTAATCCTAGAACTGCTCACAGTTTGCTTAATGATTCCAGCATCCCTAATTATGCATTTTCTTTCATTGAGTTTGATAAGATTTTAAACCAAACTCAAGAAAATGCTTTTTTAGTTGGTATATTTATTATAGAATAATTTCATTATATTTGTCTTAATTTATTCAATTAAATTACAGGTTTACTTTGGATTTTACATTAAATGGTTTGCTTTTTTTCAGATGTTATTGGGTTGTTGTCAGTGGTAATTGAGTGAAAGGAAGTAATTGAGTGGAAGGAAGTGACAAAAAATGGTTCTCCATTGAATATGATTTCATTTGAACTTGATGATTTAAGGTATTTTTCATTTGAATATTTTTGTTTTTTTATTAATTTCTCATTATATTTTTTTCAATTTATTTATTTTTCTTCTTTGTTTCAAACAGTGGTAATAAGTTTCGTTGCACTCTTTGGGAAAATTTTGCTGTTGAGATGTGTTCAATTATTGATAAAAGCTGCAATGAATCTGTTATTTTCGACATTCAATTTGCAAAGATGAAATCATGGAGAGGTTTTATTCTATATTTTTAATTATTAATTTTAGTATTTTTTT